AGATCTCACGGGAGAGTGGTGATATCCAAATGAGGACGGCACCGTGAAGGCGGAAGCAAGACGAATGAAGGTTGTTGGGCGGGGCGTCCACGGACCACAAAATACCCTAGCGCCCTTCCGGGCTCGGGCTAAGTGTCCCCATATGGCCTCAGCCGGGGCCGATCGACACTACCCACTTGCCCCTTCATCCCTTACAGCACAACCGGGTCATGGGACCCCCGTAGCCCCGACTACGCTGCCCACCGCCATGCACGACCCCGCTCCCACTCTTCCACCAACCACCCCCCATGGTCACCACCCGGACATATCAAACAATGACCTACCTGGGGGAGTCCTCCTGGCGTAGATCCTCCCGTGCACTGAGTCCGGCGAGATCCGTCTTCGCCTGATGGCTCAGCTTGTCGTTGCTGGGACGGGTGTGGCAGGGGGTGTTACCAGGCACGCAGGTGGGGGGTGTGAGTGGACGAGGCTCACATGGCGAAATGGCCTTGGGACACACTTTACTAGCCCTGGCACACCCGCGACCCAGATGGAAGAGGATCCAGTTGCAGAGCGAGAGAGAGACACGTCGTGCACGGTTGGATGCCAAAGAGGACCTCACGATCAACCACATAATAAAATCAAGTTCATCTTGAAATTTTGATTAGAGAAATTTATAATTTTAAAATTTGAAATTTATTTATCATTTCTTAAAATGTCGACCCCACTGTTATGGAAAGCACAGGATAACTGGTCCTTAGTTTTCAGTTATCTAGCTTGGAAACGAACAATTGAGTGGAATTCGAAACGACGGGAATACGTTTTTACCAAACTTTCGAAAAAGCTGTTAACACATGTTACTTTCTTATTTGTCTTCGTTTTTGGAGCGATGTTCCTGCCAGTGGCGGATAAATAGGGTATGTGGGGTAGGTCTGACAGAGGGGCCCCCGCACAGCGGGGGCCCCCGGGTGCGGCGTAGTGTACATATTGCTTAAGTTACTATACTTAAGTTTGGTCAACGAATTTCGAAAAATAAATTCACTGATACTTCGGATAAATCATTATTAAGTACTCGCATAACAAATAGTTTGAGGAACTACAAGTAGTTAGTTGAGTATTTATGGATATATGTTGAAGGTAATTAGGTTACGATTATTTTTTGTCGATTTGGAATAAATTTCTCACTGGTCAATTATAAATTGATAACCAGTCAGTGGTAGACCCAAATATATATTTTCGATTCAGGTTATAATCGTAATGTCATTTCCATTGTGGATTATTAATATGTAATCTTGGAAGGTGCTTTCTTGGGGTTCTAGCAATTTTTGCATGCCATTCTGTAAAATTTTCGCAAACTATACGTAGGTAGTAGCTTAGAAATCAATGTGGGAGCCCCTTGACCGAGGTGAGACCTTTTCTACCTAAAAACTGATTTTTTTATATTCTTGAAATATAACAAGTAAATATGTGCCAAAAATTATATTTCAACAAAATTTGACTAGAAAAAAGTTTCATATGTATCTGTCAAGAGGCCCCCAAATTTATTGGTAGTCGGACAGTTTGGCGAAAACCCTTTTGGCGAAAAAAATTCGCCAAATAAAAATCCCGTTTGGCGAAAAAAAAATTTCACCCACTTTGTGGCATTTTTAGTACGAGGGTTCCAAAGTAACTTTTGGCGAAAAAAAATGTCACATTTGGCGAAAATGAAGATTTCATGAGTATGTTAAATCATGAAGATAATACCACAAGAATTTACATATTCCTTTTATTTTCATATCTTAATGCATTTGCAGTTCCAGAAAAAATAAGGGTTCACAAACCATGTGGTTTATGCTTAGGCTGTTTAGGCATTTTCCAGATGGGTACCCGTCTGGAAATTAATTAACAGCGCGAGCAAAATGCTATGAGAATATTCTTTACAAAATTGATAACGGTACGGTCCTATATACCCAAGTTACAAACGAAAAAATATTGCAGATTCGATCACTTTTTTCGAGAAGTATTGAGTATGTAAGTAAAGGACTCGAGCGAATCATGAAAAATTTCGAACTTGGTTATCCAAGCTTGCCAGAAGTGCTCCAGACTATAAGTCTTAATTTCCTGGAATTTGAATTATCTAATAACATATACAATTGTTTTAATTTTAAGGCGTTTGCCTTGAATAAATGCGAAATTTGTATTTCGCCAAATGTGCTTTTAGGAGTTTTTCATTTTCGCTATATGTGACAAAAAATTCGCCATTCGGTACTTTCATCATATTTTTTTTACCACTTTGGCGAAAAATTATTTTCGCCAAACTGTCTGTCAATCAATTTATTATCCAGCTACTAAAGTATGCGAACATTTTGCGGAATCGCCTGTAGAAATTGTCAAATAAAAATTATGTTGGCCTATTTAATATTCTCCCCCTATTTCGATCTTCAAATTGGGAATTATTGAGACGATAGTCATAAGTGGTTAGGATTAAAAGTAACTGTACAACTTCAGTCATTTCTAAAGCGATACTGTCTGGCATAATTTTATTTCTGGGAGCGGTGCAACGTAGTAAAAACTGAATATTTTCTCTAGGAAGTGAAAATAGTTCGATAACACTACCAGACATTAAAAATATCGCCAATCGGAGTTCTTTTTAAGCAAATTCATTTTCCGTATCAAGTCAGAGCGCATAATTTAATTAACTTGACAGGAATTTTTCGCCAAAAAGTTTTTGAGGCCTAAAATCACGACCACGGCGAAATTAAAAGAATTGAAACATGCAAAAGCATATAGAAAGTGCATAAACCTATGCTTTTGTATATTTCAGTATATTTTATATTTTGTAATTCGCCACGGTCGCGATTTTAGGCATCAAAAACGTTTTTGGCGAAAAATTTCTGTGGGCGTCAAAGACATCGTACATTGTCGTATGATAGCTCATTTTCTTCGTAAGACCTAGCAGTTTCCAGTAAAATATATTAGAAAGTTAAAAAAAAATATCCAGGGAGTTTTATTTTTTAGCTCTCATTTCGAATTGCTAAAAAATTCTGACATTTGAATTTCGGCGACCTTAAAAATCGGCGACGCGGAATTATTCGGCTGAGTTTATACAAATGCGTGCGGAGTTTAGAACCTCTAAGTACACGGCATCATATCGTTACTAAATAAATGGCAATCGTTGTTAACTGTTGACAACAGTCTGTTGTTGTAACTCAATTGTATAATACACTGTAGTTAAGAATTTTCAATACCGTTAAATATCACAAAAAAATCCCACCTAGGGGCCCCGAGTTGGCTTTATCCGCCACTGGTGCCTGCCTTGTTTTTACACCGTCATGTCCAGCATTCTGACCAAGACGAGGACGGTGTCGACCATGAATTTAATTATCTTTGGGGTAATAGCGGCTACATCGCTGTTTGCCGGGTCGGCCGAATTGGCCGCGTCCATTATGGCGGAGGAGATCGTGATCGGGATTAACAATCTGATCAAATTGGAGCGGTCTCTTCTAAAAGGTTAAGAACTTAGGCTTTTGTCAATATGTATGCTGATAAGTGCTATTTTTCCGAAGAAAAAAGTGCAGAAAGCCAAACGCTAAAATCAATTGATGCGAATTGTTGCACAAATGAGTGAAATCCGAATTCAATTCCGACGAAATCCAAATTCATGCGTACCATGTATAGGTATTTACTTATAATTAGCGAAATATGTACATATTTGCCGGACATTTTCTCGCTAAGCTTGTCGCATCCACAAATTCTGCATTCTTTTAACAAAAAACTATCAAATTTATGGCACATCGATTTGCATGAAATCAATACTTACGTATTCTATGTATTTTATATTTGCAGGAACAAAAAATACAAAAATTCCCGATTCTCGCAAGGACGTTGTCGGCATCGCGTTAAACGTAGCCATAATAGTTTTAGCAATCTACCCCTATTTCGCTTTTATACCGATCTGTTATCTTAATTTAGATCCTTTATACCCCATCTTATTCCAAAATTTCCAAGGAAATTTATTCATCAAGACTTCCCTATTTTTCCTCCGAATCCTCCTCTGTCTCCCGGGTGCCATCGAAATCGCCCGCATCGTCTCTTCAACAATGTTGATTTTAACGATTGGGTTAAAATGCGCGCTTAATTCGATCCGAATCTTAGGCCTGCGATCCTGGCAGATATCCTTCCGCTTAAAGAGCAACACCTTATTTCTCGCTCATTCCCAATTAACGATAATCTTCTCGCTTATCATTATAATTCAAAGCACGGTGACCGCATTTTTAATGGGGTTCGGTCTGGTGGGGACGGTCGGGTATAATTTTGTCACCTTAAAGATGCATGGTCTCATTCCGATGCCGCTTTACTTGGTTTTTCCCTCGTGTTCCATTCTAATGCAGGGATTAATTAATATATTGATCCCGTTGGCGATTAGTGTGTACGAGGATTCGGCGGAGGTTCTGAACAAGTGGGTGTACTGGTCGCATAAGGCGGGAGAAGGCGGGTATCACGCGCTGTGTCAGAGGCGACTGAGGTCCACTCGGCCCCACTGGTTTGGCGCGGGTGTCGGTCAGTATACGCTTTTCGTGATAAAGAAGTCGACCAAGGTGACGTTTTACATGGCGATATTGAGCTACACAATTGATTCCTTATTAGCGATTGATGTTAAAGGTTTTACAGTGTGACATGATAAAATCTAATAAACCCTCGAACTAAATAATTGCCTTGGATATGTCCAAGTGACAAATCAATTTGAATTGAATCAAAGTTTATTTTATTTTTTTACTTTTTTGAACTTTAAAAATTTTTTTGCGAACGTTGCTAACGATGCGAATTTGACATGATTACCCTAATGAGTCATCTTGAGTTAGACACAAAATTTGATTTCAAAAATCCAATAAAATCTAATCCAATCTAAAAAAACAATGACATAAAAATTATCAACGGTTTCGACAGAATTCGTCGAAGAGTAGTACACCTTTATTTAAGCATAAATATGTCTTAACTGCTACATATTCTACAATTATATATGTAAGCATGTATTTACGTAATACTATTGTTGAAGTTCTAAAATATGAAATACCCTACACCGTTGAAGTTACTCATGTCGGCGATCAAAAAATTTAGGATATTTTTGAATGGGGGACAAAATTTTAAAAATTTTTTAAAACCTCAAATACCATGCGACACATGGTAGGCCAAGGTATTAATAATTAATCGCTGGGCCTATTATGTGGCATAGAATTTGAGGTTTTCAAACGTGTCCAAAAATTTTCGGTTACCGATATGAATAACTTTAATGGTGGAGGGTCTTTCATCTTTTGTAGCCTCAAGAACGGTACTCATCACCACTCCTTGCCCCCATTCCCAGAGAAGGTCTTTCCTCGAAATAGGTATGACATCTATAAATAGTAGTGATGATGATGGGTCACCCTAAAAACGTTAACACGAAAATTTAAAGAAACCACCAGCATCTGAACAATTAGTTCGCAGGATTGTATTTATTTTAGCGGGAGCAAAAGCTAAAAAGGATAGAAGATCCGTGTATTTATATAGTTAAGTGTGTAATTTTGACTGGTACCCATAGATATGTACATACATACTTACAACCACGTATTAAATAAATACTTCTCCACAAAAGAAACTACATATTCAAAAGAGTGCACTCTAAATAAAGTTAATTAAAAAATGCTATGACACAACTGGTCGTGTAAAATTTACAAGACGAAGGTAAAATTTACTCAAGGTTATAAGAAAAGGGTACAACGTTGGATACATTTTAATTTGTATAAGGTAACCTTTAAACAATCGTTACGTATAAATATGCCATCGCATGATTTACTCAAATTTTGGTAAATTGTAATTAGAGTTATGTATTTATAGTGTGGCAGGGAAGCTACTAGGATGAGAGAGAAGAAAACATTCTTATAAGCAAAAGTCAAATTATGGAAAATCCATTTTTTCTTACATATTCACCCCTCCCGAAAACGACGCTGAAGAGTTCCCCATTATTGCCACGCTATTATTGTCCCTTGTGGCTACGGCAGATTGCTCCAATCCAGACTTTGAAGTTGTAGGCATTCGGTTTATTCCTGACGGTTCGCTGGACAGACGCATATAAATCATTTCTTAAAATATACATATTTACATAACACATTCAATCCTGAGAGAAACTGTACATTTGTTGAGGAACTTGGGCCGACGAGGATGCCTTAGAAATGCCAACATTGATCTGTTTGCCAAATAGATCACTTAGGGCACCTCCTAAATATCGTGGAAATAAATTTTACAAATGAAATGAATTAATTAAAATACTATAAATTAAAATTATTCAAAGTTCATACCACGAATGGATTTTAAACTCTTAATGATTTCTTGTTTTGCTGTAATATCGGCCTCTAGCCTCGATTTTTTCTGCGTTTGTGCCGCAATCTCTAACGAGAGTGCTTCAAGTTTCTCATCTGTCGTGGTCACTTCGGATCTCACGAGGTCGACTTGAGCTATAAGCGCCTGGATCGCTGCGTCTATAAAAATTGCTAATTTCAAAAACTTACAATTTTGTGAAATAGCATTGCTTCAAAATCTGATTTAAATTTATAATGATCTGAATAATTGACATTCCTTCTGGCTTACATACACAGAAAAACTTTTAAAAGTTTTACTAATTTTTTTAGACAACTCACCGCAGGTTGATGCAATCATCCCGGGATCCATGTTATTAGCGTGATTTTAATTAAGGTTGTTATTTTTATTATTTAAATGTGTAAGGACTATTTTATTTAGATTGACGGTCAGTTTGGCGAAAGCCAGTTTGGCGAAAAAAAAAATTCGCCAATGTGGTAAAAAATTGCCATGAAAGTACTAAATGGCGAAATTATTGTCACATTTGGCGAAAGTAGAAAATTCATATAAGTACATTTGGCGAAATTTAAATTTCGCATTTCTTTATGTCAAATCGCTTGATTATAGGCCTAATTCTTGAGCTTTCCTAAAAATACTTTGACATAGGTGGAACCTACTCAATTATTGTCTTTGTGAACATGGACTTTGTAGAATCAATTGCCGCAGCCTCGAAATCTAGTATGATTTGAGAAGGATTATAGTTTTTGACGTTATCTTTTACAACATCAAACAGTATTTTGTAGCACTATTTTTTTAGGGAGAAGGCATAAACTGTTGGAACGCATTGTCGGCTTGTTCGCCTTATGCCGTAAACTGCTTCTTAAATGCAATGTATTGTGTAAAGTTGACCACTTCTTTTGAATATTTTTGGACATGATTTAAGCATCCCGTCACAAATCCATGTATCCGATGGTCCCCGGAGGGTTGAACGCTCTTCATGAGTAACGATTTTCACAAAATCCTCGTTTTCGCCAAATGCGACATTATTTTCGCCAAAAGGTACTTTAAATAAAATAAAACTAACGTACGGTGAAATGCATGGAATTTGTTTTTCGCCAAATGGGATTATTTTTTGGCGAAAGTTTTTTGCCAAAAGTGTTTTCGTCAAACTGACCGACTACCTTTATTTATCTAGATGTAACAGTCTAAGCCTGATTTGTGCTGCGGGTAAAAAACCAAAAATGACTGGATATTTTGTGGAAGATTTACATATATCACGACATGTAGAGAATTATTCCTTTGGGCTACTTTCTAATCCTGGAATTCTAAGGACTAGTGCCCTAAGGTGCACTGCTACATGCATATAAACAGCAACCAATAATACAGTCAGGAGCATAATTTTAAGGCCAATCATCCATCCAGAACTGATCGTGCAATTAATTTCGAAACTTTACATGTTATTACTTATGGAGAGGTCCCCCATTTAGCCATTGAGTATTATTTTAACGTTGGTCGATGCTCAATACTTCTAAGATGCACCATAATGCAATGCAATCAGTAATTTTGTCAAAATTACTAAATAAATACAGGCAAAATTTTAACCTAACCTAACCTAGGTTAAGGAAGGTTTTTTAAACAAGGAATGACCCACGTCTCGACAAATTGTGCTGTGCATGAATATGTAATTATAAATTAATTTTTGGTAATGTTTTTAAATTTCTTGTTTTTGCTTTTTATTGCTCCGAACCTAAGTGTGTTTTTTCTAAAAAAAAAAAAAAAAGTGACTTGTTCATGGTGTTAGCTTGAATATCCGCATAAAAATAAGCAGTAATTTCGATAATCAATAAAGTTAAGCATACACATGTATGAATTGTACGCGATTTACCATCTCTGAAAAACTATCGTTGCATAGGAAACTTCTGCTACCGAGTGAGCAAACAAATCCACCTCATCGTGTCGTGCCATTCTTAAGCCGGGTTTTAGCTGACGTCTGTGAAGTTGGAACCGGTTCTGGCAAAAATTGAGACTTGAAATAATACAGTATGCTCATGCAATATTCCTACCCAACGGCTTATATCTGCTGCCGTAAATTAAGTAATAAATGTCGCCATACCTCCAATGACCTAAATCTGTCGCCATGACCCCACTGACCTAGAAATGAGATAAAAATGTCGACCTGTCTCCAATAACCTGAAAATTAGCTAATAGTGACTCTAATAACTTAAAAATGACCTAAAAATGTCGTCATCCCTCCTTGACTTCCCCTGCGCGGGATTTGACTAACGGAATCCCTTGAAATCGAAAATGATACACAACTACATGCTCTACAATATCCCGCCGACCAGCATCCTGACAAGTTCGGGGGAGGGACATTTTTACAGGATGCGAGTAGCCGGGATCTTGTAGAGCATGTAGTTTTGTGCATTATCTTCGGTTTCAAAAGGATTCCGTAAGTCAAATCTCGCGTTGGGGAATTCAAAATCAAATCCTGACAGAACTTGACTAAACATTGACAAATGCTGGGCGGGAAATTTGTCATGATGCGGGTCGGCGGGATCTCATAGAACATGTAATTGTGCATAATTTTCGATTTCAAGGGATACCGTTAGTCAAATCCAGTACTGTGGGAGTCATGTAGGCATGGCCACATTTTTAGGTCATTTTTAGGTCACAGGAGGCATGGTGACATTTATTACTTAATTTATGGCAGCGGATATAAGCCGATTTTGTGGGTTGCTAATATTGCATGAGCATACTGTATTATGTTAAGTCTCAATTTTTGCCAGAACCGGTTCCATCTTCACACACGTTTTAACTGCTGTTGTTCTTGTTCTCAGCTTTTTGCAGCTGATGATTTTTAACTTAGAATATCCAATAGGTAATATTCATTAGATTGGAAAGGTCACCAATTTGTTTGTTACATCATCGACAAATATAACGGCATAATAAATTCATAACGATAATAAATCCCAAGTTTCACACAAAGGTCTAATAAAAATTCGGATTTTTGGATTGAAATTCCAAGGAAAGTACACACTTTACTGGCTAAATTTCTGCCGAGAAAACCTTCATTTTTATATATCTGGTATTTTTATATATCGTAAGGTAAGTTTTTACGTTTTTGGTACTAAGTGTTTTAATATTGGTTTAATATTTAGAATTAGTCTAATTTAATTATCACTTTCTTATCATGTAGATGGAATCTGATAGTGATGATGATAATAATAGTAATTCGTCGTTTACTTCTTCAATATCCAATCCACCCTCTGAGACGGCGGAACCACCTCCTAATAAAATTCCGAATTTGGATATATATCATCCAATTAAAGAAAAATTGTTCAGTTATCTTGACCAGTTTACCGTTGCCGTGAGATCAGGGGAATTTGCAGTGCAAATAAAATTGAAAACATCATTTCGTGAAGATGTGCCTCCCCCAATTGGTCTCAGGGTTACCAAGGTAAAACATTTGCAGTAAATTGTATGTATGACTATGATACATAATTATAGTTAAAGTGCTCTCTAAATTTGGAATAATTAAGAAATTAATGCTTATATTTCTTTACATAGTCTGGGAAACTAATCAAATTTCCGTTAGAAGTGGATGAACTGGAGATCGAGGAGCTGCCAGCTTCCGAGTTTGAGGTACAAATTTGATACAACTTTTCAATATTAATAACTAGCATATAAGCCCGTCTCCCACCGGGCGACTGGCTTATTTGATTTTCGTGAAAATTAAGTGGGATTGTTCATCATTCCACCGAGTTATTTTTGTATTGTATTTATATTATTAGCTGGAAACGTCTGTTGGCAAGGAAGTGAAACCCTCCACTTTCACTTCCGTCACGGAAAATTACTTTCACTTCCGTTGCAGACAAACACTTCCAGCTTATAATATAGATAAGCATACTTTTAGAAATTTTCCAACTCCTGTTCAAAAAAGGCAATTTGTCTTCGTAATTTTACCAAGTAAGCGCCAAGAAGGCATGTTAGCATTTGGAAAAATTATTACGCAAAATTTTGCTGAATGAGATCCCATATGGAATACAAGATTTTTGTGAGTACCAGAAATTAGGTCATGGAAATTAAGTTGTAATTAATTCATACATTACGGTTTTGATTATTATTTAATTATCTAATTACTTATTTTTCCAGATACTTAACAACAAGGATTGGTCTACATTCGAGAAATTGTTGAAAAATGAGATCGAAACCCAGTTTGGGTTAGCCAAGACGGGAAATCTTTCCATCTCTTTGAAAAAACTTATCATTCAGAAAGCCGGTAGCAAATTTCCGACCGATTTAAATAACTTATTAGTTACCTCACCGAAACGAAATGACGAGGAATTATTACCCCTCAAAAGCAAAACATCTTTTGCTCATCTCGTCATCCAACTGCCATCTCACTACACCGGAGGTCACATCCGTTTCAGGCATGAAGGAAAGCTCAAAGAATTTGACCTCTCTGCCAGCATGACTGCTTCGGAAGGATGGACTTCTCATTCTCTCGCGTATTATCCTCACCTTGACCAAATCCATGGCATCATCTCGTCCGGGGTCAGGTCATGTTTAATCTACAACTTGGAAATAGAATTGGCAAACCCGAAAACTGAAGTACCAGTGGCCCCCACACTAAAAAATATTGTGCCAAGTTTCTCTGAAATAGTTCAAGAATCAAAAACAATGGGGCTAAAAGTTCTACCACTGGTAATTCTGAAGAAATCGTACAACAACAACGCAATATGTAAATTTCTCGGAGATACTCTTCGCTATAATGGAGTCACCTTGTTTGAAGGTGTTCAAACGCAAGGTGGGGTTTCCCGCAGGAATTCGGACTTTTACGTCAACTGGACAAAATTGTTGCTCAGTGTGAACGTCCATGAGGAGGAAGGATTTTTGAATTTTTTCCGAAATGAGGAACCCGAAGTACCACGTACATTTCGTTTTTTTCAATTTCACCTGAAAGGAGATACTTATGAAAATCAGAATAATATGAAGAATATGCTGCTCTTCTTCCTATCGGGTGCAGTGCTAAAAAAATAACAACCGACCGAATAGATATATGTACGACTCTATCGGGTGGGTGATGATCCGGTAGTAAATTATTACTAACATTTCTTGTAGTATTCACTTAGGAGCACACATGTAACTTTTGCTTCGCGATCCGATCCACGATCCGATCCACCTCGATGGAAGGTACCGCGATCCGATCCAGGCGGATGGAAAGTATCGCGAGCCGATCCACGATCCGATCCACGCCTGGATCGGATCGGCTCGGCACGCGTTTTACGATCCATCGGCTCGCGATACACATAGTTACAAGTGTATTTATCACTGGTGGCAGACTCATTTTGTATCGCGAGCCGATCCACGATCCGATCCAAGCAGATGGAAAGTACCGCGAGCCGATCCACGATCCGATCCAAGCAGATTGAGAGTACCGCGAGCCGATCCACGATCCGGTCCTCGCCTGGATAGGATCGGATCGGCTCGTGGATCGGATCGCAATTTACGATCCGGTTCGGATCGCGATACACAAAGTTACAAGTGTGCTTAGGAGACATTTGCGAAACATTTACACAAGGGAAACTTCGGAGGTGCCCATCGAGTCCAGGGTGCCAACCTTTATACAACAATATACACAATGCATAACTTTAATAGTAAACGGAGGAGTTTTCTTGAAAAATTGACGAAATCTAAGTTTTCACGAAAAGTCCTACAGGTCACTATTAACATATTGGTGCGTGTAGGGACCCTGGACTTGGCACGTATGCACGTAGGAAGTTTCCCAGGGGAAACTTCCAGGGCTGGAAGCGTTGTGAATAAACCCCACAATGGTTGCGCGAAGTTTTAAAACCCGTTGGGTGACGTATGTCAAAAACGACAAAAATAATACGCTCTATTACAACTTTTAATATTCCGGATCAATACCCATTTGGTGTAAAGGTTAAATTTACATATATCTATTTGGAACGCATTTTTATTCCTAAAATATTCAGACTGTGAAGAAAACATTTACCAGAATGAAGACTGGATCAAGTCTCAAAGTTTTTGGAGATTTCAGAGTTACCTATTCCTCACCAAGTATAAACAAAATGTGGAGAAAAACACGCCAAAAAGTATCACTTTTTTACGCGATGCTTACTCCCTCGTATCCCTGGAGACTATTGCGGAAGGATATAAAGATTTATTTCCCAAAGTTTCACACTTTCAAAATCTTGTCAACAAATTCGCCCTCCTTGAAGACACCGAGCCTTTGAAGAAACTATTCCAAATCTGTCAGAAAAGGGCCGCCGATTTTACCGCAGTGTTCCCCTCTCTTTTGAAATTCGGAGTGGGATGGAACGCTTTACAATCCGTGCTACAAGACTATTTCGCTTTAGACGGAATCAAAACTGGGGAAAAATTTCTCGACAAAGCCAAACAATTTAGATTATTCGTGGCCGCGGAAACTTTGGACAAAAGCATAATCCAATTTAAATTTGAAACTTTTGAAGCCTTCACTAAAAAATTTAAGGAGTTATACGCCGCTCAGAAATTTACCACGTACAATCACGAGACCCTAACCGTGCTAGAGTTCTTCCTTATCGCCGAGGTTTTAAGGTACAACATGTTAGAATTTGCGAAATCAATTCCTCCCACTTTCCTCAAGAGGGTTTTATGTTCGAAGAAACTGGTCAAAGAAAAGTTTGGCGTGATGTGGGTCCGATTAGTGACGGATATTTATTGCTGCACAAATCTAATGGACGATTGCCAACTAGATGAAGAAGAACTAGAGTGCAGGGTGTTAGCCAGCTATTTTCAACTGGTGGAAAAATTTGGGGTGGATATCACCGGGATTTTGGGAAATGTGAAGAAATACGGGGTCCTGGTGAAGGCTCTGGCACGTCATACCTTTGAATACGAAGGCAAACCGGGTCACGATGAGTTGGACGAAAGTGATGAAGAAGATGAAGATGAGGATGAATATGATGAAGATTATGATGTTGATAAAGGATCACTGCCAAAATTTTGGGTTCCATTTGTAACAAAGTTGGAGGCAAGGATTGAGGCGGTTATGGCTGCCGAAATAGGTAATCAGGGAGGTCAGGGTAATACCTTTGACCTGGCGGAGGGAACTGAAATGCTGGAAGAGCTAAGAAAATTACTCGCGACTGTAAACGAGAAAAAATAGACTGTGATGAAGAGGAGGATTCAGCGTAATTATTTTTTTAAATTTTAGACTACAGGTGATACAAGTGTGTTCTAAGATTTTCATTAATTAGTGAAACTCAGCCTCAATTATTGGCATTTCTTATTAGTAAGGTTCAGTGATACGTATGTATGTACACCGGGATTTGATATAAGTACCTAAGCTCTGAGAGTGCCGAGCACACTACTTTATCCATTTCAGTAAATAATATAATAAATAAATAGATTTAAAGGTTGCAAAGGTTTGTTATGACTAAATTAATCACAATTGTAACAAAAATTCCATGCAATTTTATTTAAGAAATTGTTAAAAAATATTTATATACTAGTTCAAATATGATTAAAATAATGTCTGAAAATATGCTGTAAGAATTTGTGTGATAAATTTATAAATAATTGGATTACACCGAGTTAAGGTTTCCTCAAAATTATATTTTCATAAATATAGTTGAAAATTTTAAGGTGAAAAAATTTTCTATGTCCACATTTTCAGGTTTTTTCAGCACAAATATTTATTTTACGCGCATACATATCCGCACTTTAATCATGTGTGTTAAAACTCCAGGGTTTGGGGTTTAGTTATTAGTTAGGGGCGGTCCATAAATTATGTCACGCGAGAGGGGGGAGGGGTCCAACGCTCAATTGATATCGTGCCTATGTATGTGACACATGTTAAAGGGGGCAGGGGGAGGGGGTGTAGAAAATCACGATTTTTGCGTGACATAATTTTGGGATCTCCCCTTACGCCCCCATACAGCTATACTGTTTTATTAAGGGGTGAAAGCCCTTTATAAGATCGTTATGTCCGTCTGTCTGTCCATACCATTTAGAAAAAACTGACAGTGGCCCTGGAATTGTACGAAAAGATCGCAAAAGTCATTCCATTGTACATAGTGCGTTGCTTAGAAGAACACTAATTTTTAATTTATTATCAAACGTTTAACGAGAAATATCCAAATCCAATAATTTAATTTAAACTTAAATTTAAGCTGTTATAGGTGTATTAAGGATTATAGGTACACATTCGATTTACAGTATTTATGTTTCTAAATTAAAATTTCTTAAAAATGTGGAAACAATTATTGCAGGTGATTTTCATCATGGTTTAAAATTTTTTTGAGAATGTAGATAGTTTCTTGGTATATTTTTAAGTTGATGTACTAAAAAATGTGAAATTTCAAAAAAAGTGAGTTTGATGTCGAATATGGGAAAGTAACTACCTGGGATGAATAACATGAACAATTGTTTTTAATTTACACTTTTCCCAATAATTTGGATCTTTGCAGTGCACATGAAAATTAGTTTTTAAATTAAGGAAATCCGGATTCATTCCAAAATTCATTCCCGATTTCGGATAATTCGAAATCCTAAAAATCCGGATTTTTCGAATTAGAAGTATCCGGATTTGGCAGCCCTAGGCGTGTAATATTTAGGATTAGTGCAAGATGGGAACACCGTGGATTTCTGTAATTTCTCTTGCTGGAGATGGCGACGATGCGTTTGTGAAACATGTAAGCTTGCGAAATAAGAACATGTCCATTTGCTTGGTAAATTTGCGAAAAAAATCGTATGGTTTCCAGCAAAATTTTTTGCGAAATCTCGCAAAACTTGGCAAGTTATGTTGCTATGCTCAATTTGCAAGTTATGCGAAGGTTGACTTGAATACGTTCATAATTACCAAACTGTGTTAACTTACTGTTAACATTGAAAGCAATTTTTAAACGATTAGTTGCTTATAATTTTCTACGCACTGGTAATACTTTTCTACCGTCGGAACGAACAGGTGTTGAAATTATTAATAACTGGTAAGAATTATTTTACCAGCCATAAATTTTCTTGGGGAATATGTGTTTTTAGTAGATTGGCGAGATTTGCAAAGTCATATTTTGCGAATCCCCTCACGAACGAAATATTTTGATTTTCACAAGTTTGCTAGATGAGTTGCAATGCGAAATCAGAATTTGTCGTGAGTACGCCCAATCTTCCTTCACAAACCTACTAATCAAAATCTTGAACTTTTTAAGTTGCGACTTACTATCCGTTGGTTGAATTGATTTGTTAATGGCCACGACATTGGGATGAATTCTCACTCCTTCGGGGGAGATGTAATTGACCTCCAGATAATTCAGGGCGGGATTCGCGTCGTTTCTTTCAAGTTGAAATTCTGGGTGTTTCGCAGCAATTGCATTTTGTGCGACATCCTGTCAAAATATCTTGATCCGCCAGTTGTCACAGTTCCCTCTTACCGAAAACCAAATAGTGCGCCTGTAATATTTTATGAAACAAATTAAATAAACAACTTTACTAAAATTATTTTAGGTTTAAATAACAAATCAGAATATATGTATTAGAAACTCGTACTTTAATATGCAGGTCGACATTGCGTGAAAGTAAATCCTCCAAAATCGTGCAAACAGGAATAAGCCTAAATGTATGTGTAAAGGTTATGTTCCCACTTATTCTAATTTTATGAGTGTTAGCAAATCCTTAAATTTTATACTGTATCTCTGAGGGTATTCATTTCGAGTTCGCATAGTGAGCAACGCAAAAAAATAAAGTTCGCAAAAAATTTTGGCTTGGAAATTGTGCATTTCCAAGGCTAGTATTTAGTTCGCAAATTACTCTTTAAAACTCTTTAAATCTCGTCATTAGGTACGGAAGTTTTACGTTTTGAAATTTTGTACATGCAATTTTACGAACTGTAATTTGCGTTTCACTTCGTTGCTTCGCAAAATTTCAAAAAAGTTCTGTTGCGATGCGAACATGCGAACTCGAAATGAATACCCTGTCAGTTGAAATATGTAAGTGGACGAAATATTCATCAAGCACTGACTGGATTTCCTGACGGGCCCAAGAATATATATACAGGTGTCTGGTACATATGTACAGTTATCTGATACAAAATGAAGCTTTATTTAAATGTAAATACGTATCATTGAACAACACATGGAAAACAAGGTCAGGGTGAAGAACTTGCTTAATTTACATACATATATTTATACCCAGCAGGTCTGGGACAATCATAAATAGTTAAAATTATACCATGTTACACACGTAGAAGAAAATGATGAAAAGTGTCCTTTTAGTTCATAGGTGTTTATGTAATTGACAGGAGCCGTTAATACTACCGTTACGGAGGAACCGTTAATCACATGTTATGTTGAAGGCCAGAATGAGTTAAAAGATGACAGCGTTGTCAAAGTGAGAATACCGTTAAAAGATAATTTTACTGTATCGTATACGATATGGTATTCAAGGGTGTATACATACATACTAAACAGGATTTTCCCTGGAAGGGGAAATCTTAGGAGGGGAGCTTGCGAGGTTGATAATAACAGATCTCGATGCCCTTTGGATATGTGATAGGGTCTCATGAGTGTACTAAAACCCTGAAGTGGTTTGGCTCCATGGCCACATTTGCGCCCGCCACACCCACTCAAAAATGCCCAAAAAACGCTTTCACTCCAGTTCTCACTCACTCAAATCCACGCCAGAAATCCAATTTTACTCGGATTTTGAAATTTCTTTCACCATTACGCTCCCAGATAGTTGCTTTCTTCAATTCCATATCAAACTCAATTTTGCTGATGATTATTTCGCAGGCGTAATTTGAGTTGTTGATTACTACAACAATCCTCATTCAGAATTTCAAATTTTAAAAATACTAAAAATTTCGAAAAAATTGGGTTTGATATTGGATTGAAGAAAGCAACTATCTGGGAGTGTAATGATGAAAGAAATTTCAAAATCCGAGTAAAATTGGATTTTTGACGTGGATTTGAGTGAGTGAAAACTGGAGTGAAAGCGTTTTTTGGGCATTTTTGAGTGGGTGTGGCGGGCGCAAATGTGGCCATGGAGTCAAACCACTTCAGGGTTTTAGTACACTCATGAGACCCTATCACATATCCAAAGGGCATCGAGATCTGTTATTATCAACCTCGCAAGCTCACCTCCTTAGTGGAGTACCGTGTACAGTATTAAATAAATATTTTCTGTTGAATTTTTGCGACACAGCTATTGGAGAATTTATTGTTCTAGCGACCAATTTTTCTTCTGGTTAAGATCAGTGCCCCAAGCGCTTTAATTGCAAGTAATTCGGTATAACTCTGATTTCGTTATTATGTAGTAAACCCTCATAAAAATATGAAACGACCAGGCGAAACGGCAAGCCGTTTTTGTCGTTTTGCCGAGAAAAAGTTAGCGGCATTTATAATTCCAGCCCCACCCACTTTAGTACAGAAGTTGAATTTGTCGGATTTATAATCCTTTAATTGTTCCCGAAAAGAAGATCCTACGTCATTTCATTAATATTTCTACTCTCGAAATTCTACAGCGATTTCATAAATTTACCCAATTTCACAAAATTACTCTCCCTTTCATGGACATCGCATGCCGTCGGCTTGGACTACATTTAATTACCTGATAATGCTTGTGTTTACACAACCTTGAAAAATTGAATCAACTGAGACAATTAACCCTTTGCGATAGCGGTGTTCCCTTTCACGACCCTATCAAAGAGCCCTGATTTGTTAATATTATCCAGATAGAATTAGTAACGGCCGGAGTTTATTTCTGAAACATTTTGGAAGTAGGGGTTTCTTAGATTTTAGGGCCTACGCGTGGCTGCATTATACTGTAACGCCCCCTGTTCTAACTATGGGGTTTGTGTGTCCCTGTCCACACCCACTTTCGTGGATGTCCCTTATTTTGTGACTTTTGTGCGAATAATTATGTAGATGTTCACTTTTTTTGGAAAGATCAGAAAATATATTTATTTATATCAATACCGACTGAAAAATATTGATTACCGAAATGCTAGTATTATTAAATACGTGGGAGAGCTAATGGCTATTTTATATTTTACACCTTATCTAGACGGGAACTAATTCTAATTTAGGAAACTTAAAAATATGTAACCTTGATGGTTGCTAAATTAGACCTTCATCATTTGTGTCTAAAACTACACTCTCCTCTTTTCATCTCTGCTTACTCTATATATGTACATCTATGACGTAGCAGTGCTTGTAGCGCTGTTACCACCCTACGCTCCTCTTCCCTATCTTTTTTTCCCCTTCGTGATCAGAGTTGCCTAATACGTCACGAATTCTAATTTTTCATGTTCTGAGGAACCGTATACGTTCGGTACCGACTTTTCTGATCTAAACTTCTTGCAGGTATATAGAGTGATAGTTGATTATCACTTCCTGAAGAAGTTATTTGAGAAAAGGTCACGAGCGCATCTATACGGTCGAATCATGTCATGGATTTCTACCTTTTATATCTTGCGATTGACCGTACACCTCATACTTCGACCTTCCTCAACTTTTACTTTGATAGAACTATAGAAAGATAGTTGATTATCTTATCTATCAAAGAAAAGTTAAGGATAAGGCAATACCCGAGGTATGGGGCCTGATCAAACTTGCAACTTCACCTACATGTGTTTGGTTAACCATGAGAGGCGAGTTGATACAGACATATAACACTCTGCATATGAAACTAAATCTATGTCGTTGAATCCCTTGACCTTTGGAATGGTAATGTCGCATATGCATTATCATTACAAAGGTTGCAATACCACCTTGACTATCCCGGGTTAGGATTCACAATCTATAATCTATAAATGATAAATATTTATGTATATGCCGGCGGTCTTCCAGAGTTCAGCAAAATGCAATTTAGATTTCAGTTCGATCGGCCGAACCAAATATTTTGTTTGAAACAACAATGATCATCCAACTTGGATTAACTAATCCAAATTTTATGCAATTGTAGATTATATGCCGGGCTATCAGATTGGTGAAATATAGTGCTACTTTATGACATGTATTAAAAGTAGTTGTGCAGAAGCAAGTTAAAAGTAATAATTATTGGTCATGTCATAATTTAAGCGATACGTATAAAATTCAAAAGACATTATAATATACATACCCGCCCGCCCGAAACCCGACTGAATATTGGTCAACCCAACCCGACCCGCCTGACTCGAGCTTTTGCTGTGCCCAACCCGACCCAACCCGACTCAAACTTGCTCGACCCGAACCTGACCCGCCCCACTGGGCAATTTCCGAAGCCCAACCCGGCCGAACCCAGTCGGGTCGGGTTGGGTCCGGGTCTCCCCGGTTGAGTCGGGCGCCCGACACATATTCTTCCGTCTAAAAACGAAAATAAAAGAAATTTTTACGAATACGCAGCAAACCACAGATTAAAAAGTAAACAATGAAAGACAATGTTAAGTATGTAGCACAACCTATCGGTTGCCCGACTCAACCCGACCCGCCCGACTCGAGCTTGTGCTATGCCCAACCCGACCCGACCCGACTCAAACTTGCTCGACCCGAACCCGACCCTCCCGACTGGGCAATTTTCGATGCCCAACCCGCCCGAACCCAGTCGGGTCGGGTTGGGTCCGGGTCAACCCGACTCATCTCTAATACAAACTTTAACTTCAATATCAATGACATTTATTTTAGTTGAAATAACAACAAATATTCATTTCACAAATTATTTGCATAACAGTTTAATCGGTTTAAAGAAAGGAGCGTATCTAAAAGATACGGTTGGACATCCGCCTTAGAAATGGGGTGGGTTTAATTCAAAACGACGTAACATTTGAATCTAATTATATTTTTTTAATGTAGCCCATGAAAAGGCTGGTGTACTTGCTCGAATATTTCAAATCTTTGCATGCAGTCCCTCTCCGATTGCGGGACACATGTTTGACGCCGTTCATCGAAGAAGTAGTCGGTCAAGCAATAAAGCGTTTTCACAAGTATTTGATTCAAACAACCAAAAAACTCAATACAGTTGCGGGGGCTGGCGTAATAACCGTCCGGCCGTCCAGTGCATGTGATGGTAGGTGATGGGCATATGTACTCGTCGGGGTGGACACATGTGAGACGGCTGGGGTGGAAAACCAGGAATGTCGGGCAGGAATATTCTCTAACCTGTCCGTTCAGACAGCCAATGAACCTTGAACAATTGGAGGGGTGTTGGTAGTATCCGTCCGGTTTTCCTGAGCAGTTAAAGGAAATGTCGGGTTGAGGTGTCGTTGTGGTGGGTCTTGTAGTTGTGGGTGCCTGCGAGGGGGTAACGGTGGTCAAAGTACTGGTCACGTTTGTCCGCGTGGTAGTCACTGTAGTCGGCGTGGAGGTCGTCGCCGTAGGGGTTGTCGCTGGCGAAGTTTCCGTGGTTACCGGTTCTGTCGGTAAGGTTCCACCCATGCCGGGATCGCACTCGTACGGATCCAGGGATACACCCGCTTCAATCTCATCTAATGATACCTTCTACGTATCCGTTAAAGGAAGGCATTAAATAACATAAATGCTTAAAATAGGATGTCATAATTAATATCTCTTCGGCGCCTTACTTCAAATAAGCAACCCAGGTAGTCCATTAGCATTTTTTGATTATATACTGCCCAAAGGTTTCGCAAGGAAAACTCAGTTATTGCAGTCGCAATACCTTTGTGATACGCCTCGTCAGAACTATTTGTTCCTTGAAATAAGTACGAGTAGGGAACGTAGTTAGAGTAATAGGTGTATGCTGCATTCAAGACAATGTGGTTGGTTGCATCCACGTCGTAAAAGTAGTAGAAGGTGAGCACGGTAAGGTTCGACTTTATCATGAAATTCCCGTTACCAACGACTGGGGCAGCGTTTTCTAGGCCTTGTAGGGTGTACGTTCCTAGAATTTATTGAAATTCATGAAGCACGTTTTGCAAATATTTGGAAGGCACTGGTTTCAAAATTTCTGTCGTGTATGTTATGTACATA